TTGTTCAGTTTCCTGAAGCATGTAGGTATGTATTTGAAATCAAAGTTTTCATGATGTGATAGTATGTAAATTTGACCATGTAAACTCCATTCTTGCTCAAGTTCAAAATCAGGGTGTCATTTTTTCTATTGTAAGAAATTAACATGGATATGATTTGTTGGATATCATGCTGCATCAACAGTTAAACTCAAGGAGATTATGATGTCACACTCCTTGATTTTGGTCTATTATTTCCTTTACCTTTAGGTGATTCATTCATTTTGCTATGAGGGACACAATGTAGTGACTAATTATCTTTGACTCGTAACCAATGATATTTCCAAACATTGATATTGACACCATTTCTTACACACTACCTTGTTCCTCCTTTTACCAATACTTATGAAACGTGAATGTTATGCCAAATGAAACGTGGGTTATGGCCTAATCGAGCCCCTAAAAAATCCCCTCAGGAAAGTATTTGACTTTGAAGACGCGAGTTACAATAACATCATGGTCAAATGTTAGACCTTACTTAATATGAGTAAGTTAAATATATGATATGACTCTGAAATTATTTACTATAAATTTTAATAAATTTATTAAACATAATAATTTCCATTTAAATCATATTTATGTTATTAATATTTATTTCAAATTGACAGTTCATATGTTATTTATTTGATTTCATTTTTTTAATTTAATTTAAATATATTGATAGTGTAAACTCTTCTAATTATATCATTTAAGACAAGTTTGTTGAATTTAATAATAACATCTTAATAGTTATTTTAAAAATGATTTTGATAAGAAATATTATTTGTGCAATAACTTGCATGATAAATTTCTTCAAAAAAAAAGTACATAATAAATTATACAATAGTAATATAAATGAAATGTTATAAATGATGTTATGATATAAAATAATGTATAAAATATTGTTTGAATATCACAATTCTTTTTTATTAGTGATAATATATTTTTTGTTCATCAATAATATATGATAATTAAACTTATTTTATAATGTGTTTTTCTTTCTTGTTTCTTTATATTTTTTTTAATGTTTATAAACTATTTTTCTTTAAAACTTTATTGTAAAAAAAAGTATACCTTCAGGTAAATTGTGGCAAATATGTTTAGTTAGTGAATATAAAAAAAAGTACTAAATTTAGATTTCTTTAGTACAATTTTAGTTAAGATTCAATATAAATTAAAAGGTGAGATTTTACTCAAAATTAAATTAAAATGATTAACTAAATTCTTAATTAAAAATTAGTTAGTGATGAAATCGATGAATAATCTGTATAAATAAGATTTAAAAATAAAAAAGTTGTTAGGTGTTGCTGTTTTCAACTATCGGTCAGATATTATTCACCTGCCACCATTATTCCTGCAATCCAATCTCCTTGCCTTCAAAGCGAGCTCATATCCGTAATGACTTATTTACCCTCAACCAATGTTTGATATATATTATAAAATGACTGAAACATCAAATCTAATATTGATGGGAATCAGGGAAATCGATCCCAAATTTTCCAAACTTATCATTTTTAGTATCTATAATATAATATATTAAAAATAATTATTTTTATATAGTTACATTTAAAATTAGAGATAATATTATTTAGGTTTTATTTATCTTTTCTTTATAAAATATTTTTTTTTATATCTGTCATTGTTTAAATAACAATATTTTTCTCCTCTAATAAATATTCTATCTTTTTTATATATATATTTTTTTATCATGAATATAATTACACACTATTTTTTCCTAGATACAATAATCAAGAATCATTTATTTTTTCTTTTATAATTTAATATTATTTAAAAGATTATAAATGATTATATTTTTTTTTGAGAGATAAATGATTATATTTGTAATCAAATAACTTTATCAGTTTTTCATTTATAATTTTTTTGTATTATTATTGGTTTGATAATTAAAATGCTATCGATTAACCTTTTACAATAGAGAAAACTTATGAACACTCACTCTATATATATATATATATTACACTTACTTTTTTTTTTGGGTACATGTTTATGAACACTATATTGGAATTAGATATTTTCTTAAAAGTTGTGATTTATGTAGATACTAATTTTTATTATAAATTCATGGAGATGTTTGGTGGTGTGTGAAAATGATGATTGAAATTTGTTATCTTGGTTCTTTAAAAAAAATGTTTAATTTGTTTTCTATGAAGATGTTTTTTTATTACAAAGATTTAGGAATATTGATGAAAAATAAAAGAAAAATATTATTGATTTGGATGTAAAAAAATGACATACACAGTTTTCTTATTTTTCTTTAGTTAAATTATTTTTAATATGGTTAAATAATACTTGTTACACATTTTTATTTTAATAAAAATTAGTAATAAAATATCTAATAACTTTATTAATGAGTAGGTTTGTCAAAAAACTTGATTGATTACTATTTTGAAAAAGAAATTATAAAATTTTATTGTAGATTCAATTATAGTATAATAAATATTTTAATAGAGATTATTAATGCAATTATAAATATTTTATAAAAAATTGAATGTTGATATTTACTATTAGCCCACCTTCATCCCCGCCTTACTCCGTCCTTGATGGGAATCTAGATATTATCTATCAACAAATGAAATGGTATTCATATTTTTCACTTTTTTTTTAAATAAAATAAAAAATTTAAGGATCCAAAGAAAAGGCGGTTGCTGGCATTCTAAAAGTTGCTTCACAATTAAAACTCATTTAGCCCATATTATTTCATAATCATAATGCTTCATTCTGTTTGAAGACAGAAGATATTGCTTTATTTTAGGTTTAAAGCAATAATTAATGAATGAATACCTTGTGTAGAAATATTTTTCCAAGTGCAGGATGGAGAATTTTAATCAAGATTAATCCCCTATATTTTAATATATGGGATTGTCAAACTATTATTATTCTGTTTGCTTGTGTATTAGTTAAGAACTTAATTTTTTTATGGTTAAAAATATTCAATATTTATTTTTAATTAGTTGTAAACAATAATATAGAGTATGTTTTTAATAAGTATCACAAAAAAATACCAACAGAATAACTTGTTAATAAATTCTACTACTATTATAGGTGCAAATGGAGTATTATTTCGTAAATGGTACACTGCACTGACAACTAAAATTTTGTCTTCAATAAAGAATAATTCGAGATTCGAGATTAGAAGCTTACCCGATTTAAATACTTTAATTATGGTATTTGTACTAGTTTCCATGTCATATGGATGGCCGTGCATGCAAACATGTTCTAATGGATCTCTCTCTTTAAACTTCAAATTAAAAACCAAAGCTTAGCCTCCCCAATACGTTGACTAAGATTTACGAGCCCTAGCTAGTTAGATCCCACTACAGATTCATTTTTATATCTTAAATCACCTCATATACTATATTTGATAACATATACTTTAAATATAAATATCTCATATGATTTTAATTAGTTTCTTAATTTTTAATTTTGTCATTTTTATAAAACTTACAATTTTAGTCTCATTTCTAATTTTTCATCCGTTAAATAAATAATGTAATAATTAATATTTATACTGAACTCAATTTCTGAAAATATTAATCTGTTTACTAATTAATCGTAATTTTTTGATTGCTAGTTCTCTTAAATTTTCTTTCTTATTGCTTTCGTTTTCACAAGTCCTCTGTAGGATCTTTTAAACATCATCACTCTAATATTGAGGATCTTCCGATGCCTTCACAGGGTATAATATGTATGTATAAAAAAATATGATTGCAACAACAACGGAGAAAGATAAAATAATGATTAAATAATGAAAGAGAAATCCCACTTTTTGAGAGTATTTATTATCACTTTAATGTGTTTATTGTCATTCTTTTTTAAATAAATTTTTATTAAAATTAGATAAAATTTATTTACACAAGAAACAATTGATATATAAGAGGGGCAATATATAGAAATTCCTCATTTTGTTTTTTAATTTCCACACTATTTTACAGTTAAGAGGAGGACAGAGAAAAATGTAAGATAAGATATAATTACAATGTTACGGAGAGAAATAATTTTTATTTTAATAAAGTTCTTTATAAAAAATTGTAAGAATAATATCACTACATAATGATGAGGAGGGGATGTGCAAAACAAAAATAGAACATTATTACTCTTTAAATACTACTGTTAACATTTTTTTTTTCTTAACTACATAATGATGAGAAATAATTTTTTTTTTTCATTTTCCATATAACCTCAGAAAAACAAAAGAGCAAAGCAACACTAATATTCATACATACTGGTTATTTTATATTCCTGCAGTAAAGAAATTCAAAATAATCTCTTCGTCTCGTTCTATTCGACATTTTGGCAACTATTTTATTTCATTTTAATTCTCATTTTACAATATCAATAACGTATAACATACTTTTATTATGCTTTTTAATTACTCATTGTAGAGTTAAAATGAAGAAAAATAAATAAATAAGAGAGTTTAATTAACGTAGAAGATAAGTAATATAAAAAAAATTACATAATAAATTTTATAGAATTTAAAATAATTTTGTCCATTCATTACAATAGAGTTTTTTTTAGGGATTACAATAGAATTAGGACTAAACGAATAATTTAGTTTTTCTTAAATAATTTTAGGCAATAATATTCAAATGTGGATATATAGCTTAGAAAGACACTAATATTACAAGCAATTATTAAATAATTTAAGATTACTGTATGTCTATCATCATATTCAATTGCTTCTATTATATAATGAGTTTAAATTTTTAATCTACGAGAAAATTATAAAATATTTGATTACATGTTATACGAAAACTAATAAAATATCACTATACATATGTTACAGTATAAGACTATATCCGACACCATATCTCTCAACCATTTGAGTGTCAACTTTAATTTGTCAGTTTTTTTTTTTTTTTTTTCTTTCCAAAAGGAAGACAAGGAAATTAAATGAAAGGATGGTTATGGAGCAGTAAAAGAAAAGAAGAGAAATATTAATGGCAAAGTGTATGGTGGCAGATGCACATTGAAGAAGTGCAATAAAAGGGGGATTGGTTTTCCAGTTGGGTAGGTCTGAGTTTTCATTAAGTTTCAAATTTGAAGGCACAACCACACCTTTCTCCTCTCTCTCCTTCAACGTTTGTGCACTCACAAATATTTGAGATGATCATGCACCATTAACTATACATGATGAATGAAATGCAAGCAATCATGATATTGATGCTGAAAGTCCAAGAGGGTCTCTGAGCAGCACCTTAATTAACCCCACCCACCACCCTTCCCTCATCATTAATACCATGATATCAATACTAGCAGAGAGAGATATCAGGTTTGCTTACCCTCCTTAATTACAACAACACTCTCTTTTTCTTTCTTTGTGTTACTATTTGGGTGTGTTATATGGAAATACCCATGAAACTCAATTTTACTTTGTGCTCTTTTCTTTCCTAGTAATGGTTTAATTTTCACCTTACCCATTTTCTTTCTTCACCCTGAAAGACAAATAATGGGCACTGTTGGTGTTGGGGGTTCATCTTCTTCTTCTCCTCCTCCTCCTCCTAGTCGTCATCATCATCATCTTTTCCTTTTGGCTTTCTTCCTTTCCCTCCTTCTACAAACGGTTCCGGTTCAATCCAGCACCTTAAATTACACAAGGTATAGGAAAGTCAGCACCTTGAGACTCCAAAGGATCCAGACTCACTTGGACAACATTAACAAGCCCCCTGTCCTCACTATACAGGTAACATTACATACTATCTTCTATTAAATAATGTTTCATCAACAAAAGTTATTGTTAGATTAGTCTTTGATTATCCGTTGAAGAACCTAGATCATGTCTATATATATAAAAAAAATGTTATGCTAAATATGTGAATGTCTCATTGTTATTGAGTACTCTACTAATAAGTAATAATTGATTGGTGAATGTTATTATTATTTCAGAGTCCAGATGGTGATCTGATAGATTGTGTCCAGAAAAGAAAGCAACCGGCTTTGGATCACCCACTTTTAAAGAATCACAAGATCCAGAAGGTGCCAACAAAGATGCCAAAGGGCATGAATGTGAAGAGAGAAGAGAGAGTGAGTGCATGGCAAATGTGGCACAAAAATGGAACAAGGTGTCCAAAGGGAACGGTTCCGATACGGCGGAGCACAGTGCATGACGTGTTGAGAGCAAAGTCTTTGTTTGACTTTGGGAAAAAACAACGCCGCTTTCCTCTCACGCGCCGCCGCGACGCCCCCGATGTAGTCAGCGGCAACGGCCATGAGGTACCACTCTCCGCTCTTCATTTCTTTTTTATTTTTATTCAATGGACCATCTCTATCTCCATTTATGGGTCAATATTCTACATTTATTATATCATTAATTTATTTTCCTTGGGATGCCATACCATTTAACCAAGAATCTCAAACTCTAAATGTCATTTTAATTAAAGGAATTCAATTCAAACACGGATTATATATACTTGGAATTGGAAATATTCATTCTGCAGGAATGACAAACACTTAAATTCATAGATTTACTAGCTAGAGCATGTTATGTTATAAGGGAAAATATTTTGTGGATTTCAAAGTATTATTGCAAATTTTTGTGTACATATACTCTTTAAATAAATCGATCTGAAGGAAAATAGTAATAAAAGAATTATAAAATGTGAAAGAGAAACTCCAAGGGGTTACAAGAACGACTTCTTTTGACTTTCGTTATAAATAAGGAGTTGGCAATTAATGTCATTGTTATTAATACGTGTCATGATTTTGACCAAACCATATATGCATTTACACAATTACACTCGTCTCGTTTTATAATTTAATTCTGCAAATATCCAGCTTTTATTTTCAATAGTAAATCAAATCGTACCAGTATTTTTATATAATAAAGTTTGACATTTTTTATATATAATTTTGAGAGGGAGAGAAAGAAAATAAAATGTAAAATAATAAATGCTTTGACCGAAATAGCGAGTTCAACTAGTCAGTTCAATTAGTTTATTTTATTAACTCATAAATATGTTTGACTGAAATAAAGGTGTTTAATACGTTAATGTTAGTTTATTTTATTAACTTATAAATATGTTTGACTAAAACAAAGGTATAAAATTTAATTTAATATTTTAATTTTAATTAAATTTTTAACTAATTTTTATCAAATATTACCGTAAAAAAATAATGTCTTAAAATTTGTTGTACAACTCTGATATTGATTACCAAATAATTATCATACCAGATCGATCATCCCATCTTACCTCCCTCGGCTAATAGCTTTACCCACATTTTATCAATCAATGTGCATATTTCTTTGACGTCTTATTTTATAATATCTCATCATATACTAATCGATTATCTGAGCAGGATTCACACGTAGTAGACATGTGGTCCCTGAAAAATAATAATATATTAAACTTGAATACATAGTGTTAAATCCAAGTTTATTAGTCTGTATATATGAATACGATCCAGAAAAAGTTATTAATAGCTTAGTTTTACATAATTCTAACTATTTTGGGTATATAACTTAATCAATACATATTAATGTAAAAAATAACATTTTGTGTGTGTGTGATTTTTATTTTGATCGAGAGAAAAATTGCATTAATTATAAATAATTTTGTGTTTATATGTAGCATGCTATCGCATACACTGGATCATCACAGGAGGTGTACGGTGCAAAGGCAACAATAAATGTGTGGGAACCTTCGATTCAAGTGGTCAACGAATTCAGTCTCTCTCAAATTTGGATCCTTTCAGGCTCCTTCGATGGCTCAGATCTCAATAGCATTGAAGCTGGATGGCAGGTATTCTATCTATATTCTATATTCTATTTTCCAAATCCATTCATTATCTCTCTTCAATTTTTCACAATAGTTAACAAGATCATGTAGAAATATTATAATTGCATTTTTACATATTTGTATCATATAGTCATTAAACAACAATATTATATGGTAAGAGTAAGTAGATTTACATTTGTGTGGAGTTATATTTCCCTTTATTACGTACATACTTGCATATCATTTAAATTAATGTGACTCAAGTTGTATTGTAAATTTAAACTCCAGTTTGAAGAAACCGGACATTCACAAATTAATATATTAGATTAGATTATTACACGTATGAACATTGCATTTTCTCTATGTTTTTTGGGTTTTGGGGGATGAAGAAATGGTTTCTGAAGCTTTGATTGTTCTACTAGTCAGGTCAGTCCGGAGCTTTATGGTGACAGCAGACCCAGATTATTCACTTACTGGACGGTCAGCATCCATCTCTCTCTTTTCTTCATTTTCCTTCTACACTTAAACACTAACCTGTTTAGAATTAATATGTCATATGTTATGCACCGAGATTTTGTCATAATAATTATCCATAAGACCATAACTAAATGTGTCAAGTAGCTAGCAAATCAAATTAGGAGGTTGACAAACTATTAGAGTTGACCTAATGTGATAAGAAATTGAAATAGTATATATATGATTATAAATTTAAATTCTAATATTATCATTGTAATTTTATTTTAAAACAAATAAGAGGTTAGCATTTTGCCACATTAGTTATCAATTATCACTAATCGATTTTAATGGATTTAGAATTTAATTTGTATATGTACGGTGAAACTAATGCTTCTTAATACAAACATCCATAGGAATTCACTCTATTATAACATTTCTCATCTTATTTATTAATATGATGTAGCTAGCCCTAGAATGAGTTCCCATTAGACTTACGTCTTTGTAAAAAAAAAAAACACAAAAATAAAATATATAAATTAAACTCATGTATTTATCATCCAGAAAAGAATTATTTGGGTAGAATTAAACTACCCTTGTGGAGTTTTATAAATTTTGTCTAGTTTGTGGGTGATGCAGAGTGACTCATATCAAGCAACCGGATGCTACAACCTTCTTTGTGCGGGTTTTGTGCAAACAAATAGCAGGATAGCTATTGGAGCTGCCATTTCCCCCATCTCATCTTATGATGCCAATCAATATGACATCACCATCCTCATTTGGAAGGTTAATATTTCTCTCCCGTGCAAATCGATATATCATGATGAAATAGATGGTTTCTAATACTTTTTTTTTTACACCTTTTTATTATTGGTTAAAATTTCTTTTGATTTATTAGTATTAATAAGAAAATGTTAGAGAGAATATCATTAACATTTTTTATATTATGGATGTTTATTTGATTTAATTATTTTTGTCCAAATAACTGACCCAATATGAATTATATACAACCTTTTTAATGTTGTTCCCTTCTTTTTGAAACATTGATTAGGATCCGAAAGTAGGGAATTGGTGGATGAGTTTTGGTGATGGCACATTGGTAGGGTATTGGCCAGAAGAGTTGTTCACACACTTAGCCACCCGTGCGACGATGGTGGAATGGGGTGGCGAAGTGGTAAACACACGTGGCAACGGCCAACACACATCGACCCAAATGGGATCTGGCCACTTCGCCGAGGATGGATTTGGAAAAGCAAGCTATTTTCGTAACCTTGAAATCGTAGACACCGACAATAGTCTAAGCTCGGTGCGCAATATCTTAACCCTAGCTGAGAACACCAATTGTTATGACATCAAGAGCTCCTATAGTAACGAATGGGGCACATACTTCTACTATGGTGGGCCAGGCCATAATCCTCAATGCCCATGATCATATCATATTTTTATTCTTCTTCATCATGACGTACCTATCTTTGCGTTCTAGCTCTTTACATGGTACTATTGTTTTGAGTTAGTTAACGTCTAAGTCTTGTTGCATTCTTTGCTTGTACGTAAATATAGAATTATTGTTGTTGAGCCATTTCCGTTCTTGTTTCTGCCACCTTTTTGTTTTGTTTCCTTTCGAAGGGAAGGAAAATGTGTGTTGTAGCCAATAAGCAATTAAGGAACTTCGGGACACATGTACATGGATGCATAAACACGATTGGAAATGGTTATTGAACGACTATCATCGTTAATGTCATGCACTCGATCATGCTTAATCTTGTTTGTTTTTCTCTTCACTTTTATTTTTCTTCTCTTAAATGTCTTATTGCTACCAGTACTTGTTTTCATAAATCGTAACATTGTTAAATGTTTTAGTTCAACAATAGCTTTTTAAAACTAAAATTAAGATAATATTCCTTAAGTCTCAACAAATTAAGATTAATTAAAAAAGAAATACTAAATAAAAATTTATTATTATAATTTTGTATGCATTTAAGTTTACATTTTAAAAGTTTAGTAGCAATTAAGGAGGATGTTCTTGTTTTAACGCAAGGTGGATGTTCTTCTTGATATTCTTAGTGCTGCAATTTTTTCTCGTTTAAGCGTGTGTTTGGAAACGATTTTAGAACATAATTTTTCACGTCCAACAATAAAAAGACACAGAAGTAAGAACTGGCTGCTTCAGTTATGACGTGACATTTCACTTCAAATGCATTTGTTTTTTTAAAATTCGAAATGATCTATATACATAAAATAGGTGGGAGGAAAATAATTATCGCTTTTAATACTAATTGTTCTAACTTCTAAAACTCCTAAAATTTTGGGGTACACGACAAATTTCTCATGGAATAATACATATTAAGATACGGTACAAGCAGAACAACATAATATAAAAAATTGAGTGAAAGCTTAAGCTGACCCCTCAAAGCAACATGAAAATAAGCCCATGCCACATAGCCAATATAACAGAAGAATTTTGAACTTTCAACATTGAACATGATACTCGTATCCATTTCTCTTGCATATAATATAACAAAAACAAGTGCTTCTCTCTCTTAATTAAGGGTTGAACTCTTAACCCACAGAAATGTCACTAGAGTATCCAAACTCATATCAGTGCATTTTGATCTCTATCTCTTTTTCTCTCGATTGTCAATGTCAATATCTTTATCCTTAATATTTATAGGGGAAAATAAAATCAAAAGTTGCACCAATACTTATATCACTACAACAAAATTTAGTATTATAAAAAATTATTTAATAGCAATAAATTAATTACCTTTATTTTATTATTTAATAAAAATATTAATGACTATTATATAATGACTACTAAAAATGTATTTACATCACATCAAAATTTACTATTAACGATAATTATTTGTTAAAAAAAACTTAAGTCTCACATCGACTAGAAATAAAATAATTAAAAAGTATATAAGTGAATGATAACTCTCACCTTACAAGTATGTTTTATAAGGTTGAGTTAGACCTATAACTTACTATTCTAAGTTAGTATTTAGGAGATAAGATAATTAAAAAAGTTAAAGAATATATACTTAGAAGATAACCATCATCTTCTATGTCTCACATCAATTAGAAATAAGATAATTAAAGAGTATTTGTACTTATTTTACAAGTCCTACATCGACTAGAAATAAGATAATTAAAGAATATTATAAATTATGACAGTAACAAATGACACAAAAAGTTATACACTTTTCTCGACTATTATGAGAGTCTTTACCAGCATATAGAATAATTGCCGATAAATGTTTTAGCGACACTACATACAATGGCTAATGTGTGAAATGTCGGTAAAAAAATTTGTAACAATTTTTATTGCCACTAAAAGTCATATTAAATACCTCTAAAAATCTATTTTATTGTAGTGTATATACGCGCATTTTTTATATGCAGGAGAAATAAATATGAGTATCATGTTCAATGTTGAAAGTTCAAAAAAAAAAAAATTCTTCTCTGTGGCAGGGCTTCTCATGGTTCTTTGAGGGGTCAGCTTAGGCTTTCAATTTAATCATCTTCTAAAAAAGGTTTGGATTTGAGTAATAAACAAACAGAGATATAAAGTTTCAATGGCGTATATTTTCACATGAAAGGATAATCCAAGTGGAAATCTCAAATGAAAGAGAAGATTTGAGTAATAAAAAAAAAGAAAGAGGTATAAAGTCTTAATGGTTTAGTTTTTTACCGGAAAGAATCCAAGTGAAAATCCAACATAAAAAAAAAAAATCTATTTTTGTATAGATATATATAGTGATAAAAGAAAAGAAAAATAAAGAGTGTAAAATGACTATAATATTGTCTATTTCACGCATACATACATAATTAATATAATATAAATCAATATTATATTTTTTATTTATTTTTATGATCAATCACAAATCACGATCATATATATA